CACACAGAATAGATAAGTACACGATACCGAAATTTTCGTTACGGAGACAAAAAATACCATAAAAAAGTAAGGTTATGAGCAGAAAGTGTCAAAAAATTGACAATGGTGAGCTGGCAACGTTGCATAAGTAATGCCAACCTTCAAAGAACCCGAGAATTTGTCAGCCCTGGGTTGAAAAAGCTTGGATAAACACTTTTCGAATTGAGTAGGTAGTTAGCCCAGAGTTAGAGTTAACCATTGTTTTCATTGATAAATCGGCCCTAAAAAATCTAATTACTAGAACTTTACAAGAAAAAATATTTGGATCATTCTAAAAAAAGATGCATAGGCCTGAGAAAATCACTGACTGACACTTCCTAATAACTTATTCAATGAGGTTATTTGCCCTACGGAACGGTTGTTTGCACAACTCCTTCAGTGATTATGCGATATTTCTCACCCTTTTCGGAAACACACGAACCCGGTAAAGACGGTGTATTTAGGGTGTTAGCGCCTAGATCTTTTGTATGTTTTTACGAACGATACCGGCGCCTTTTCGGACTTGTTTGCTCGGTATTTAGTTACTTGTGCCCCATTCATCATGAGAACTTTTGTCTTGCGTATAGTTTTTTTGTTTTGTCAATATTTACTTGAATTTGGGATTAGAGAAGCATAAAGATAATAAGATATATTTAAAAGAAGATTCACTATTGAAAAGAAAAAGTCAGCGAATACATCTACCAAGAACTTGATAAAAGCAACCTGACAGAGAAAATTTCATTACCCTGCTCCTATTCCACCTGTTTCTCCTGTACCTATGCATTTTTCAGACAGAAGTTTTTGCTCTTTTTTTTTCCCCTATTTTTGTGGTAGCTTTTTCTTACTTTTCTTTTTTTTTCCCAGCATACTCTTCTTTCCCACTTTCTTTTTCCGTTCCTTCTCCATTCTTTTTCTAGCTTTTGTCCCTTCTCAAGATAAAGATAAAGAATTATGTTGATGAACTTGAAAATTTTAAGGAAGGTTTTGGAAGTTCAACTCTTAAGTACAATAATAACTACAAATTCTACAAGAAACATGTTAGAATTTCCATTCTTTCACCTCAAATTTTCAAAATTCTCCTGGACAAAATTATCGCACCACTGCACATAAGCATCACCATAAGCAGTGGTGCGATAATTTTGTCCAGGAGTATAGTTTTCCGTCCTCTAGCTCTTTGTTTAGCTTTTCACCATAACCTGGTTTTTTCGCGGTAATTTTTCAGCATTCCTACGTGTCAACTTGTTCTAGTTTATGTTTCAGCTTCCTCTCTCTTTTGGCTCTTTGTCACTTTTTTCCAGCTTCTTTTCCCTTTTCTTACTGCCTTTTTGCTGTTTACTTTAGCCCAATTTTCTCCACATTCTTTTTGCATACCTACCTAGCTGTTTAACCAATATCTGTCCCTTTGACCCAAATGTCTCTTCTCATAAAGCTTTCTTTCCTACAGGCAGGTTTGATGCAGGTATAGTGTTAATTTTTGTATTAAGTATGTGTTGTCTTTCAGTTGGGTTTGTTCATTATTCTTCCAAAAAGTTTGCTTCATGTATCTAAAATATATATTATGTGCAAGAATAATTATTTTTGTCTCAAATTTTATGAAAATATAGAATCAAATATAAAAAAAGTAATTTTCTTCTAGCCGCGGTAGCCCGCTATCCCGCTGCACCAGTACTCTTCCATCTCACTTTTCTCCTTAGCTCCCTTTCTCTCTAGCCAATTGTAGGTACAATACAATAAACCCTTTTACGTAAATTTGGACTAAAATTTAACTTTGAGGCTCAATTGCTCAAAAACTATCCGAGGTATCGAACTCAATTTTACACAGATTTATAGAGAATTTAAGGCTATTTTCAATGATGTATAATTTATATCAGATTGCTTAAAATTTACCAGAGATATGGGCAATTGTTTCTGACCATGTCAGGATTTTGAAAATTTTCTAGAGCCAAAAATAGGATTTTCTTTTTATTTTTGTGTCTGCTTAAAATGGGCATTTGGAATTGATATCAGGGTTGTTTTCCACTAATTTTGACCCGCTCTATCGATTTATAGAGTCAAAATTGAGCAAAACTAAAAAATAAAAAAATCGAATTTTTCATAAGGGTATCTCGTTTGAATTCTGATTTCAAAATATTCAAACCTCAATTGCTCGGTAACCGTTGAGCAAATTGCATCGAAGTTTCCAGAATTTATAGCTTTTATCAAGTTCTGAATGGCATGTAATTTACAATATTTCCAGAGTTCTAGTTTTTGAACAAATTGAGTTTGAAGTTTTTAACAAAATTTAGACTAAAAGTTAACTTTGAGGCTCAATTGCTCAAAAACTATCTCAGCTATCGAACTCAATTTTGCACAGATTTATAGAGAATTTAAGGCTCTTTCCAATGTTGTATAACTTATACCAATTTGCTTAAAATTTACTAAAGATATGGGCAATTGTTCATGACCATGTCAGGATTTTGAAAATTTTCCAGAGCCAAAAATAGGATTTTCTTTTTATATTTGTGTCTGCTTAAAATGGGCATTTATAATTGATATCAGGGTTGTTTTCCACTAATTTTGACCCGCTCTATCGATTCATAAAGTCAAAATTGAGCAAACTAGAAAATAAAAAAATCGAATTTTTCATAAGGGTACCCTTTGAATTCTGATTTCAAAATATTCAAACCTCAATTGCTCGGTAACCGTTGAGCAAATTGTTTTGAAATTTCCAGAATTTATAGCTTTTATCAAGTTCTGAATGGCATGTAATTTACAATATTTCCAGAGTTCTAGTTTTTGAGCAAATTGAGTTTGAAGTTTTTGACAAAATTTGGACTAAAAGTCAACTTTGAGGCTCAATTGCTCAAAAACTATCCGAGCTATCGAGCTCAATTTTACACAAATTTATAGAGAATTTAAGGCTCTTTGCAATAATGTATAATTTATTCCAATTTGCTTAAAATTTACCAAAGATATGGGCAATTATTCATGAGCATGTCAAGATTTGGAAAATTTTCCAGAGCCAAAAATAGGATTTTCTTTTTATTTTTGTGTCTGCTTAAAATGTGCATTTGGAATTGATGTCAGGGTTGTTTTCCAATAGAGATTATTCACAATAAAAAACCAATGACAGATTCTCAAATAATGACAAGCAATTTAAAATGAGAAACTACACCAATAAATTCACCAGAGATTCTTGAGAATGAGAAAAAATTCAACCGAAATATTTGAGAATCAGAAACAAAACAAAAAATCTATCAAAAATTCTTGAGATTGAGAAACATCCAACATACATCTTAAAAAATGAAAAACAACAGATATATTTGCAAATTTAAAACAAACCAAGAGGAGAACTACGACCAGATTCAACAGAGATTATCCAGATTCAACAGAGATTATTCAGAATGAAATAATGAAAAACCAATAACGGATTCTAAAGAATGACGATCAAAACATCTTTGAGAATGAGAAACCAGAACAACAAATTTACTAGAGATTCTTGAGAATGAGAAAACCTTCAACCAAAATATTCAAGAATCAGAAACGAAACAAAAAATCTACCAAATATTCTTGAGAATAAGAAACATTCAACAGAAATTTTTTGAAAATTAAGAACAGGCCAACAGATATTATCGCAAATGAAAAACAAACGAGCCAAATTCAACAGAGATTCTTCAAAATGAGAAAAATGAAAAACATAACAGATGCTCAAGAATGCCAACCAACTTAACAGACATCTTCGAAAATGAGAAAACACACCAATAAATTCACCAGAGATTTTTGAGACAGAAACATCAAACAAAAATCTTTAAAGATAAAAATAGACAACACCAAACTCACTGGCAAATTCTTCCAAAGCTCAGACACAGTAAGCTTATGGTATCACCATCCAAACTTACTGAATGGATGCTACAACTCAACATAAATTAAATCAGGCTAATAACTGGACACCCATATGCAGACTCTGTGACGAGGCGGATGAAACCGCCACTCACCCAATACATAATCTTCATATGTAAAACTTCACGCTGGTAGTGATACAGACAGGTAGGGCCAGAAGACCCTATTTCTAAACTCATGAAAAACCACACTGTGAAGAGGCTCCTAAACCTAATCAAGGTCACGAAACTTTCCACTATATCTAGACAATCGTAAACTGGAAAGTCTTGAAAACTTGGAAAGACTGCCAAAACCAGAAGATAAAATTTTAGTGAAAAATGAATCTGTGTGTGCGTAATTAATTCTTCACAATATAAAACTAAATTCGTTTTCAAAACTCTTAAATTAAACATCAGGTAAAGATACCCTAGCAATGATAAAGATTCTAAGAAATTACCGCAGTATTCCTGGTACAAAACAGGTTTTATACACACGTATTATGGACATTCATCATATTGAAAAACAACATTCTAACAACTTAATATTACTTCAAAAAAAAAAAACCTAAACAATCATTTAATGTTAAATGATTTGTCTGAAGCAATTTAATGAAACCATCTTTGTGTTCGACGATTGCTTTCAGTTTTTATTGGGTGGTTATTAAATAATTGTCGATGATATAATCCATGTGCTAAGTTTCTAAAAATAGTGTATTGTTTTTTTTTTTTTTTGAAATGTGTTTTCTTCTGGACTTTGGGAAATAAGGAAGAATTAAATAAAACACAAATTAAAAACAAAAAACGTCTGTACTCAACTATAGAGTATCACAGTTAAAAAATCAATAAAATTACGAGACCAAACGTCAACGTCCTTATTCAATAAAAATATACTTAAAAATAAATAAATACATTGCCTTAATAAAATGTATCAAAAAATTTTGATCTTTAGGGGCTAAAATACATAACGATATATTTTAATAAGACTTTTTTTGTTTATTTATATCTATACAATTATTATATACATTGATAATACTTTTTGATACATTTTTTTATTGCGAATTTATTATTTATATTTCACAATAATAATACATATTTAATAATAAAATATTTTCAATCAAATATTTAGGCGAAAAAAAGTATAAATATAAGAAAAATAAATAATACTATTACATAAAATAATAAATAATAAATAAAACCTAAACAACTAATAAGCGAAATAAATAATGACAATGGTCAAGGAATTTTCCACATTCACATAATAATATAATAAGTTAACTCCGCTATTTTGTACATGTTATTTATCATCGTGAATTAAGTAAGTATTTAAAGACAATTTTTTTTAACAATATTAAGTTTCACAAAAAAACAAATAACAGTACTGCTAAAATTGATTGTAAATTGCATTTACTTTTCCAATAGATATAGCAACCATATAAAAAACTGTTCAAAAAGTACAACAGCAAGTCCAAATTGACAAAGTTGGTATAGCAAAATTTAAATACATATATGTAGTACAAAAATTTAAAAGTGTAATTTTCAAAATTTAAAAAATCTTTTGTGACGAAAATTTCACTATACCAGCCCCTCCGAAAAAAAATAAAATAAATAAAAACAAAAACATTTTCCTACATCAAAACACCTCCCCTATCAAAAAACTTTTTAATAAGGAATTTGAAAATGCTCAAATACTGCCACGGTATATTCCAGAACCTCGACCAAAGTCCTGATGATTATCCAGTCGCGCACCGCCTTGTCCGTTTTGTTGAGATCTTTCAGATTCTGAGGCATAATATCGCTGCCCACGTCTTGCGGAAAAGTCAGACTGTTTTCCGCTATCGTTATTTTCAGTTCTTCGTTGATGTTTTCCAGTTGACCCCACATTCCGCTGAAGTTTTTAGCCCAAACAGCGTCACCGTCGTTGGCGAAATCGAGCGCCAACTGGTTGACTGGTTGTTTCATGATGTCTATGTGGTTGTACAAATCGACTACGATTTGACTTAGCTGAAATATTACATAGATTTTAGTACAATTTATTACATTATAGTGAGTGGATAAAACGAAATAATGATCTAAATGATATTAACTTACTTCTAATGAGTTTAGATGGGTCCCAAATACATCACTAGACACCTTAGGAACATTTGGCAGCCAGTCGTATGCGGGCACGTGTTGGAAAACCTGATCGAGGTCCGTGCTCTGCAAAAAAAGATAGTAATTTAGTAGGTAAGTATTGGAAAGTGGAATATATTTGTGTAATGGTTTTGATCATACGAATCTATACAATATTGCCGACCTAAACACAATATTGAGGAAAACCACCTAAGTACATAAAATATTATTTCTTCAAATCTTAACTTTTTTAAAAAAACGTTTACTGAATAAAAATAAATGTTGCAACCATGTATGCGCCCTTAGGATTGTCAGTCTTGATTGCAGTATCTACTGTTGAGATATTTAAAAATCTTGGGATTCTTGATTGTTGAGAGTCTTTTCAATATTGAGTCTTCGGGGGTTTTAGAATATAAAACTTGAAAGACGAGAATCTTATCTCTTTCGAGTGACAGTATTGACTCTAGAACTAAACATTTTGACTCAAAGATTCTCAGAATTGAAGTTCTTGACTGTTAATGAATCTTCATTATTGATGTCATTGGGGTTTCGAGAATCTGAGACTTCAAAGACGAGAATCTTATCTCAATATTAACTCTTGAACCCAAAATTTTGACTCAAATGCCCTTAGGACTGTTAGTCTTGACTGCAGTATCTGCTGTTGAGAGATTTCAAAATCTTGAGATTCTTGATTGTTAAGAGTCTTTTCAATATAGAGTCGGGGTTTTTAGAAAATGAAACTTCAAAGACGAGAATCTTTTTCCTTTCGAGTTTCAATATCAACTCTTGAACAAACAATTTTGAATCAAAAACCTTCCCTGTCTTGACTACCTCGACTCTTACAGCAGTATCTACAGTTGAGTCATCTCTGGACTGGATTTTTTATAGTATTCAGTACTAATTTTCCAGTCACTTGAAACTTCAGTATTAAGTCTATCTAGTTTCTTTAATCTGATATTGTAAAATCGGAAATCTTGTCTGTTTCCAATGTCAGAATTGACTCATGAACCAAAAATTTTGACTTAATAAATGTCGTTAGAGTTGTTAGTCTTGACTTGTAGTAGTATCTTAATTTCAAAATATTCGATTTTTCCCATAGTTTTCAGTATGAAGTTCCAATTTTTCTCAATTATTTTTGATCCAGAAGCTGAGATGTTAAAGGCGGAAATCTTGGCTGTTTTAATTGTCAGGATTGCAGAATCGTACATCTTGAGTCCAGGATTCACTGAATTGTGATTTTTGACTGTACCTATTATTGAGTCTTTGGATTTCCAGGATATGAATCTCTTTCAATCCTGAATCAAGAATTTTGACTCAAAATTCTTCCGATCGTGAGTCTTGATTGACTCAGACTTTTCATTCTTTATATCTGAGATTTTAAAATTGAAAATTTTGTCTTTTTTAAAAGTCAGAATTGGCTTTTGGACTAAATATTTTGACTCGAAGGGGACCAGTTTGAAGTCTCTAGTCTTCTGAATTTTTAGAATCTTGATATAAGTTTTCAGAAGCTGAAATCGGAAATTTGATATTTTCGAGTGACAGTATTGAGTCTTTGTCATTTCTTATATCTGAGATTTTAAAATCGGAAATTTTGCTCTTCCGAGACTCAGAATTGACTCTAGAACTAAATATATTGACTGAAAGATCCACAGAATTGTGATTCTTGACTGTTAGAAAGTCTTCAATATTGAAACTTTGGAGTTTCCAGAAAATAAGATTCTTGTCTATTTTGAGTTTCAATATGTCTTTAACCAATAATTTTAATTGGTGTCTTAACTACCTAGAATCATCCGGCAGTATAGTAAAAACCGGCCAAAGAAGCCACTGCCGTCATCACTGGGAAAGAAGGCAAATTTCCTTTTCTTTCCCTAAAGAAAAGGAAAGTCCCTACCTTCCATTTGAAGTGAGACAAAAAATAACGCGTGTGTATTCTTCTTAGTTGGTTCGAACTTTAGATATCTGCAGTTGAATATACTTTTGACTTGATTCTCCTCAGTTTTTAAAATCACTAGGATCTTCAGTATCGAAACTTTGTGGTTTCTAGAATCTGAGATTTTAAAGTCGGAAATTTTGTTTCTTTTGAGAGACAGAATTGATTCTTGGACTAAATATTTTTACTCAAAGCTGCTCGCTTGAAAATATTTTGATTTAATTTTTTTATAGTTCCTAAGTGTCAAGTCTCCAGAATCTTATTATAGAGTTTCCAGAAGCTAACATTTTAAGACTGGAAATTTGGTGAGTGACAGTATTGACTGTAGAACTCAATGAAGTAGAACTATATCTTTCTTTATTCCGTTCTCCCTGGCCAAAGTTCCCTATGTAGCATGTATCACCTGGCCTGGTTGTTTCTTTCCTATTTGTGATGATTACATATTGAGTGTTTTCGGGGTTTCTGGCTTGGTAATTTCTTCGTATAGTTCTATTAGTTCGTTGCTCGCTGTGTGAAATCAAAAAAATTGGTCATGCAGTTATTTTCCTATGTAGATATACCCAAAATCCTAATGTTTTTGAAATATAATCCCTTGTTGTATTTCCAAAGAAGCGCTTTTCTGGATTCACGAATATCAAGTCTGATGCAACAATAATAAATACAAATATATTATTATCTCAAGCTCGAGGCGTCCGGATGTCTAGCTAAATACCCAGTGACGTTTCACTATAATATCACCAAGGTCAGATTTGTTTCTCATCAATAACGTAATGTTTTGCAGCATACTTTCAATAGATTTTTCACCGCATCGAGCTGAATGCAATATGAGCAGGATTTTTGTTGCACAATTAATTTTTATCACAGACCATTGACAAAATTCAATTTGTACACAATCCATCTATCTTGTGGACACTCAGCCTAACCTACAAAGATGGAGAAATATCCTACTTTCTCAGCTGTCTGTTTCATTTCCGATAGCACCGCAATAGTGTGCGTATTTTTTAGGAAAAACACAATTGCTTGAAAAATATTTTCGTTGGGAAATGGTGATTCCCCTGATGAGCTAGTAATTAATTTATAAAAAATTACTAATTTGCTTTTCCTATAAGTCTGCACCAATAAATAGGCTTCCAATGAAATAAAAAATTGGCTGTAAAGGAAATGTTAACGGTTAACCGAATACTTCCTCAATAATTCCTTAATTGAATTGAAACGTGTCAAAGCCAAAACTAATAAATCCCCAAAAACATTAATCAAAAGAAAGCAAAACTTCCTGAGCTCGAACATTCATAGTCCTCATCAACCAATAGCAGCCTGATCAGTATGCAATCGGTGCCGTCCATTAATACAAAGCTCTGACTACAAATCGTTGAAGGAAAATCGTACCGTCCGATTACACACTATCATATTTTCTGTCTTCGTCTCGTGCGGAATTGGTGTCGGTACGTTCGTCCTTATCTATCGGATGTCTTGGCGGCACATCCGCCCGTGCGTCGGAAGTCGGTGCAATTCTTCGCCGAACCTCGAGTGACGTTTCGTTTATTCAGGTTTCATCGATTGATCGGAGACCGACCGCTACAGGTTCACATTTTTTTTTTAGGTTGGTATGTTTGTTTTGATGTCTATGTGTGTATTTGTATTTATTTTTTGCAGCATTTTTATTTTATTTTTTTTGGGGAATTTTGTTTGGTTAAATATGGAAAAAGACATCAAAAAATAGATTCGTTGTTGCATTCCGTGTCAAGAAGCCAAAGCTACAAGACATGTTTGAGTACCAAAGAAAATTATGAAATTTCACATTCAAGATTTGAACAAATTCATATGGATATTGTCGGGCCCCTTCCGACTTCTGAGGCCTATACAAGTAGGTAGTAGGTATTCAGGTTTTCGACCAAAACAGAGACGAGACAAAGAAATACTCCCCCTACCACTATAGATACAATCATCCCCCTAAGCTACCGCACCCTCTATCCCCCTGCCTCTCAAGATACTACACACAACCATCCCCCTATGTTTTATGCTGAATTTTGCTGGTTTTGTGTGCTGAATTTTGTTGGTTTTGTTCTGGATTTTGCTAGTTCTGTTATGGTTTTACATGGTTTAGCTGGGTTTCACAGGTTTTAAGTTGGATTTTGCTGGTTGTGAAGAGAAATCGCTTGAGATCGAAACTAAAGGGATAATTACAAAAAAATTGCAGTAGAGGGATACTTGATGTATATTTTTGAAAGCACGACAGGGGGATACTGGGCTGGGGTAGGGGGATGGTTGTATTTTAAGTGACCTGTAGGGAGATAGACGACGCGGTAGGGGTATGATTGTATCTTCAGTAGTAGGGGGAGTATCTCTTTGTCTCGTTTCTGTTTTAGTCCAAAACCCCGGAATTCTACCTACTCATACACTTGCTTACTTATATAGACAGATATACAAGATGGCCAGACATTTTTCCAATGAAAAATATAACGGCAGTAACAGTTGCGAAAACGTTTTCAAATGGGTGGACTGCTAGATTTAAATTTCCCTTGGAAATAACCACTGATCAGAGTGGATAGTTCGAATACAAAAAATTTACAAAGCTTCTGGTTATTCACCCTAGCTGTACTACAGCATATCATCCCTGTGCTAATGGTGTCATAGAGAGATTTCACCGATAACTTAAGCAATCAATAAAATGTGTTATGAAAATCCGAAATGGACAGAAATTTTACCATGGGTTTTGTTGGGCTTGAGGACAACTGTGAAAGAAGATATTGACTGTTCTTATTGTGCAGAACTTGTTTATTGGACAACCCTTCGTCTTCCGAGTGAGATTTTCCTTCAAAAGCCTACAATGCTCAGTACACAATTCATGTGAAAAGAATTACAACGAGCTATAGAAAACATCAACTTCTGTATTTACACTTCTCTTCTACCTGTAAAGGTAAAGGCTGTAGGTGAGATGTCAATATATAAAAAAACACCCTGTACAAATAAGTGGATTATTGGGGAACTTATGGGTGGACCTCTGCGGGACGAGCGCAGCGAGTTCCGCAGCCATCTACTCACCAATATACTGTTGAACTGTTCAAGTAAGACATTCACCTGAAACGTGTAGTTTTTAAACTAATGAGAATAACTCACATTTGAGTGAGTCAGATTAGTATCGTAATTAAACAACATATTGATGAATAGATGGCTGCGGAACTCGCTGCGCTCGTCCCGCAGAGGTCCACCCATAAGTTCCGCAACAATTCACTCATTTTCACTTGAATAACTTGTTACATTATGTTCCTAGTTTGGAAAGTAACATTATTAATTCCTGTTGAAAGGTGAATTGACAAAAAGTGAATAATCTTACAAATTCTGACCTTATATAATAAGTTATTTTTCAAGTACAAATAAGTGAATTGTTGCAGAACTTATGGTTGGACCTCTGCGGGACGAGCGCAGCGAGTTCCGCAGCCGTCTACTCACCAATATACTGTTGAACTGTTCAAGTAAGACATTCACCTGAAACGTGTAGTTTTTAAACTAATGAGAATAACTCATATTTGAGTGAGTCAGATTAGTATCGTAATTAAACAACATATTGATGAATAGATGGCTGCGGAACTCGCTGCGCTCGTCCCGCAGAGGTCCACCCATAAGTTCCGCAACAATTCACTCATTTTTACTTAAATAACTTGTCACATTATGTTACTAGTTTGGAAAGTAACATTATTAATTCCTGTTGAAAGGTGAATTGACAAAAAGTGAATAATCTTACAAATTCTGACCTTATATAATAAGTTATTTTTCAAGTACAAATAAGTGGATTGTTGCAGAACTTATGGTTGGACCTCTGCGGGACGACCGCAGCGAGTTCCGCAGCCGTTTACTCACCAATATACTGTTGAACTGTTCAAGTAAGACATTCACCTGAAACGTGTAGTTTTTAAACTAATGAGAATAACTCACATTTGAGTGAGTCAGATTAATATCGAAATTAAACAACATATTGAGGAATAGATGGCTGCGGAACTCGCTGCGCTCGTCCCGCAGAGGTCCACCCATAAGTTCCGCAACAATCCACTCGTTTTTACTTGAATAACTTGTCACATTATTACTAGTTTGGTAAAGTAACATTACTAATACCTGTTAAAAGGCAAATTGACAAAAAGTGGATAATCACATACAGAATACAAATCCTGAATTAATAAAATGAGTTATTGTTTAAGTATGTACATCACACGTGCGTTTAAACATGAGTACAGAACTCGTGTGATTAGAACAACTCGGTGTACGACCTCGTCGTTCTAATCTTTCACACTCGTTATTGTAATCATGTTCATAAAGGCACTTGTAATATAAATAACTATAATTTGATAGAACATTTAGTTAAATAACTATAAATATACTCTCTTGTAAGTCATCTTTTGAGATCTAGGATCATTGACTTGAGTTTGAAATTTGGTCCATTGAGTATACATCTGTTGACTTAGTTATAGAGAACTCTAGCTTTATGGCCACCATTTGCTATTCATATTTCCGGGTCTAAGTTTTTCTGCTTGGAATAGCATGGAGGCATCTCACAAAAAGATGAAGAGGTTTCATGCTCCTGAGGTTACTGTGGGGTAGCCCCTTGTATTCCAGATTACAGATTCCAAAGAAGCCTTTCTACTTCAGGTAATTTGTTCTGAGCAATGGCCACCAAACCAACAAGGTCGATAGATCCAATATACCTACCATGTTTGGTTGGTTGTAGCCGACATGATTTTCCCACGAGTGTGGCTCGTGACTTATTTTGTTCAAATATTGAGTTTGTGCCCCAAAGGTTACCTCTATCCTTATCCGAGAATGATAATTGTGTTCCGTTTAGAGTGGGATCCAATTATGTGGTTCCACTGGGAATAATGGCTAGTTCTTCCTTGCTCCAGTTTTTGATTATTTCCAAGACACTTTGCATGCTTTCCTGCCATTAGGCAAATGCAAATAATTTTCAAAATGGAAGGACGTTAAGTTTTTTTTAAATGAACTCATTAAAGAAGTCGGTGGCCTACGCACCTTTTTGCGTGCGTGCCCCGAAAATTTGTCGTTTGTCTAATTGGTATGCATCCGAACAAGGCAATTCGAATGCTTGCACGGAATGTGCTGTCTTCTGTCAATAAGTTATTCGAAATACTGACGAAGACGCGAACCACATCCTTCCTGTCTCGACGTCGTACCTGTGCGAGTACGACCTTTGAAAAATCTTAGAAGGACACTTTATATCTTAACAATCAATATGACCTTAATATAACAAGCAAATAATTATAGTAGGTACTTACCGCTTTTTCTTTAAATTTCCTTTTCAAATCCATAGCTATGTCACGAGCAGATTTTGCGCTGCGAAAAGCATGAGTTAGCGCTGTGGTATTCATTTCGTGACCTTTGGGTTCTGTTTGGCTGTTTTTACTATTCCAAGTAGTTGCTCTAGAGCTGATTGTTGTGGGTACGGCACTCGAATAGGGAAATGTTATTAGCGACAAATAGGTGCTAAGTAGGAGGACGTGGTGAAATTCTGAAAAGACAATGAGATTGTTAGAGAAACGAGAAGTCGATATTCAAAAAATATCATCGGTTTTGAGTTTTCTGATGTAAGCTTACTGATATAACTAAAATTTGAAGAGCTCTTCCATGTTACATTGGATTTGTTTACTGACAATATGTTTATTTTTTTTTATCAATTTTTTTGACATTGTTTAAAGGGATTTTGACAAAGCAGGTGTAAATATACCCTATGCTATATACATTCAATAAATATTCAGCTTTTCTTCAACACGAAATATTTTCATTAATTTAAACTGCTCTAACTTTTAGTGCTCCCTAAACAAGCACACTAAAATATTAATGTTTTAGCTACAAAGTCATCAAATCGTGAATTAATCGTTAATATACGAGCTGCTAAAAGTTGTGCTGCAGTTGGCATAGTCAGTAGACAAAAAAATTCTTTATTGTCAAATCGACTGAGTAGAATAAATCAGTGGTCATCGACCACGGCGGGCATACACACATAAAGCATCAACATTTTATGTCCGCTTCTATTTATTTTACGATCTCGCAAAGACAAGACCAACTATTTAACTGACGCATTTAACACTAAGTGCTAATGTTCTATAATTACTCCAATGTCCACTATTTACTATCATTTACCACATCGTTATGACATTTTCTTGGCATTTTTCTAAAATTGCACTCAGGTGCGCCAGGCATTTCTATCTTGCCTACAGTAATTTACAGAGCGCACCAGTATTTAAAAGCGTTTTTGCAAACTATCATCGATGCCACTTTTTTTTTTCTGGCTGCCGCTTTTTTTAATTTAATTAGGCTTTTTCTTCGTTCCGAGCTCTATGCTCGTCGCTAACGGTCACTCCGCTTCTTGCGGTAATTTCGTTTTATCGTTATAAATTGCTGCAAAAATGGAACACCAAACAGTTCTTGTTGTTTATGGACTTGCGGCTGGGCTGATGTATGGTGAGCAATAAAGATGGTTTCGATTTGCTACTGATGAAAATTATGTGTGCTGGCATTAGCGGCAAGAAATGAGTAACAATCTCGAAGAGAATCAGGGTTCATCTGTTTCGGATAGTACTGTCCTGCTGAAAAATGTAACAGGTGAATCTGCTGTCTTGCAGTATAACCCAACTATCAAGAAGATTACTAGACTATAATCTTGAAAATGACGAGTTCAATCTTTTTACAGCATTATCAACTGGAAACTTATCAGATGAAATGCCACAGATTTATGCAGATGCTCTAAGAATAGACAAAGGATGGAAAAATGCTGTTGGCGAAGACTTACAGTGTTGGATGAATGTAATATATGGGAACTAGTATTGCCACCTGAGAATGTTGAAATTATTGACTCAAGATGGGTTTTCTGTGAAAAAATAGTGGATGGAAAAGTGAAAAAGAAAGCGCTCGTGGATTTAAGCAGAGTGCATTCAGTGAAGACGTATATGTACCTGCATCACGTATGTCTAGTATAAGAATATTGTTATCTTTATTCATTGAATATGATTTGTATGTAATTCAACTTGACGAGAAGTCAGCCTTTTTGAATGGAACTTTGAAAGACCCAGTTTTCATGCAACCTCCAGAAGGTTTAGAAGTTAGTAATAAAAATTTAGTGTAAACTGAAAAAGGTACCTTATGGTTTACGCCAAACACCAAATGAAAGTTTTCCTTACAAGGAATTAATAGGCTTACTGATGTATTTAATGTTGGGCTCTAGGCCGGATTTGAGTTTTTCAGTAAACTATTTCAGTCAATTTCAGAATTATTTTGGTATTGAACATTGGAACGAATGGAGTTTGGGAATAGGAGAAATCGGAAAAATTGAGCTGTGGGTACCGCAAGTTGAGACTGTAGATATCCATCTCGATGAGATTGTCAACATCATCAAATAATGTGATTATGATAACATTGACATCAAAATTACTGCAAATGACATTCAACGTCAATATTACCTTGAGCGCCAAGCACTATGAAAAATTGCTAATGTGTGAACTAACCTTTCTCAAGATACTGTAAGATATTGTCATTTATTCAGCCTACTTAGCCCATTTAATCCATTATCTGAAGTATCATCTCTTATTGCCTCCCAAAAACAATAAAAAAAAACCATCAAAAAAAGTCACCACGGTCAAAGTTTGGCCTGTGTGTCGGCGAAAGAAATAAATATTATTTAAAGAAGCGGTATGGCATGGCAGAATGAAACATGCTGTTTAAATATATATACAAGATTGTGTGTGGACATTACACACAAAGGTATATACCCGTGAGAATGCCTCTCGTTTTTATTTTTATTGCTTTCTTGGGGCCTGACCCCGAGCCGCACCGCTCAGCAGACCAGTCCACGAGACGACTCTGAAGAATTTTTGTTGTTTTTTGAATAATTGCTAAAAATATTTTAATTTTTTTTTTTTCAGAGATTGTCGGCGTCTGATTGTACCGGGATAGTGTCAAAGGCCTTTGGGAAATGGTTGTCATACTGTCCAAGGTGGGAATAAAAATTTTGAAGAATGTTTTGGCAATTTGAATATTTTAGGGAATTTTCACATTCATTTTGTGTGAGCTTCATGAATTTGCTCGTGGTATTTGGTTGAAGATTTTTGCTTGATAAGGTGCAGGCAACAACCTTTGAATTTTTCCCAAAATTTTATAGTAAAAAAAGGCAGAATCTTCTAGTTTACCTATAGTAAATTTACCTAATGTTATCCTGATAGAAAAACCTTTAGTATAAGGAACTCAAAAATTGCATTTTGTATCAGGGAAACAAAACCGAAAGGCAACAAGTCACCTGAGACTTTTCACCTAATTTTCTAGAATTGGACATGCAGCTTGGTGCTTTTCAACTATTTCGTGATGTTTTAGAGTGGATCTTCCTCTACTATGCCTGAGATTTTAGCTATTTATAAGAAGTAAATAAGTTGATTTAATATATATATCTCAGTGTACCGATTTGCATATTGATACTGATGGCCAATGGGTCATGAAATATCCACTTACCCAATAAACGATTGGGCCAAGTCCAACTATCATAAAATTGTCACCCTTTTCCTTATTCCGGAACAGGTGAATTTTGTGGCCGAATTCAAGGATCCCGAAGCGAAACACATGTCACTATTAAGTGAATCAAATAATAAACAATCTGTGTGTTCAAATTATGTTTTTGCTTAAATTTTGCATTGCAAGTGTCACATTCAAATGGATAAATATCCCAATGTGTTAGTTTGTGAATCTTTAAATCGGCTTTCCGTTTAAATTTTGATTTGCAAGTGTCACATTCAAAAGGATAAATATCCGAGTGTGTTGAAATGTGCCTTTGTAAATTACCTTTTTCTTCAAATTTTGCCTTGCAAGCGTCACATTCAAATGGAAAAATACCCGAATGTATTAGTTTGTGTATCTTCAAATCGCGTTTCCGTTTAAATTTTGATTTGCAAATATCCCATTCAAAAAAATTAAATATCCAAGTGTATTAATATGTGTTTCTTCGAATCGCCTTTTTTTTAAATGTTGCATTGCAAATGTTACATTTAAAATTCTCCTCATCCGAGTGTGTTAATATGTGGCTTTTCAAACTACGTTTATGTTCAAATTTTGCATTGCATGTGTCACATTTAAAAGGATAAATATCAGAATGTGTTAGTTTGTGTCTCTTCAAACAGTCTTTTCCTTTGAATTTTGCTTTGCAAATGTCACATTCAAAAAGATAACTATCGAACTCTGTTGATATGTGACTTTTCAAATTACCGTTTTGTTTAAATTTTGATAATTTAAATTGTTCTTCAAATTTTGCATTGCATATGTTGAATTTCAAATTCTTCCCGTCCAAGTGTATTAGTTTGTATCTCTTCAAGCTGCCTTTTCTTTTAAATTTTGCTTTGCAAATGTTGCATTTAAAATTCTTCTCAGCCGAGTGTGTTAATATGTGTGCGTTCAAATCACCTTTTCCTTTAAATATTTTCTTACCAGTGTCATATTTAAAAGGTTAAATCCGAGAGTGTTGATATGTGATGCTGTAACTCATTTTGTTCCGCTTTGTAAGTGTTACATTCGCAAGAACAAATATCCAAATGTGTTATTAAATGATGTTTCAAATTTGATTTGGTTTCAAATGTAACATTGCAAGTGTAACATTGAAACTTCCTAATAAAATCCTGTCTTGATAAATTTATGTCACTCGAATGTTCTTTTTCCTTTATAAATTTTCCTTTATTTGGATCTATTAATTTAACATCTGGTTCTTCTATTTCGTTTTTAATGTCATCCTCTATGTATGTAGACTTGGTAATTTTTGTCTTTTTTTTATGGTTTAAAAATCGGGTCTTTTTGAGAAATAGGGACAAATTTTTCTATGAAAAATAACATTATTTTCTCCGTAATTGAATGTATTTTTCCCGAATCCAGTTCAACCTGAAAAGAAGTTATCGGAACCGAGAGATTGTAATAATGTCTTGACTATCAAACCATTGAGCTCCTCGGTCATCAATTCTAAGATAGTATGAGAACGTCTACAGAAACTCATTGAACTGGGAAGGGAAAACAAAATAGCCCTCCTCTGAGTGCCTGGACACATAGGGGTCGAGTGCAATGAATGAGCAGACTCGCAATACGCACCGTCAAGAAATTCTTAAAAATAAAAAGAACCGGCTAAGGAACAAACAACTAGAAGTATGACAGGTTAAAGATCCATTGGGCAACTTCGACCAAAAAAGATCAGAACTGCTGGTCAAACTTAGCAAGAAAAGTCTCAACATTCTAACCGGGTTTTTCTCGGGACATTGTAGACTTAAGAAACACCTACAGAAAATTGGGGATGGGAGAAGGTGACACCTGCATATTATGTGAAGACACCTCACCAACTTCTACTGCGATGGGGTTAGTCTCTCAAGGATGAAGAACCGGGGAAGTCCAGTCCTGGAATCTGGAATATCGAATATCCTTAAATTCCTAGAGCGGCTGCTTTGAGCAGGAATTCCGAACTTAGCAGCAGAAGGAGGGGTAAAATAGATC